TTTTCTGCGGGGCGAGAGCGAACCTCTTCCGGTGAAAAGCTAGGCGGGTGAATGCTACCATCGACTCCTCGGCCGCATTTCCGCCCCCCGGGGCACGCATGCTCGCAGGTGCGAAAACATATGTTTTTCGCGACTGCCAGACGATGAGGCGCGAGGACAAGCACGGCTTATGATTCAAAAAGACGCGGTTTGAAATCCACATGTATTGGCCAGGGTGGTATCATCGAGGTCGTTTCCACATGTTCGTCCTCCTGGCCTGCATGCGACCGCGAATGCGAAATCATACGGTCTTGTTATTGCCAGACGATGTGGCGCGAGGACAAAGGTTGCCTGTGCGGCCAAACACACACACACACATTGCATTCCACATGTACCGGCTAGAACTTTCCCAATGATTTCTTGGCCACATGTCTGCCCTCCTGGGTACACATGCTTCCGCACGTTTGAAAGCATAGTGGTTTTTTGGTAATAGCCAGACGATGAGGCGCGATGACAAACATGGCTTCTCATGCAGAAAACAACCACTTGAAATCCACACGTAGTGGCTAAAAAGTGCCAGTGATTTGTGGGCCAAATTTCCGTTTTCCTGGGCGCGCATGCTTCCGCACATGCGAAAACACACGGTTGCTTCGTGGCCAGGCGATGAGGCGCGATGGCAAAATATGTCGATGATGCAAACAAATATGGAATCCGCATGCGTTGGCTCGAATGTTACAAACTACTTCTTGGCTACTGTTCTGCTCTCCTGGGAACGCGCGTGTTCCTCTGCGTCTTTTTCTGCGAACGCGTACTGCTCTCTATTTCCAGCAGAACGAGGATTTTCAGGCAGAGCTTATCAGGCGCTAGACAACGATGTAGATTAAGGGCATGGATGTCAAACAAGTTTAAATCGCCCAGGTCTGTCACCACCCTGTAGCGGGATAGTCTCTATTGGATCTCAATTGGGTTCTAATAGCTCCTTTTGGATACCACAAGGATAACAATAGCTTGCCAACAGGGGCAACATGAGTCAAAGTGGACAGGTGTTTGTTGAGTTACGGTTCGGTCTTGGTGGGATCCCAGTATTATGCCCGTATGGATCGAAAAGGAAGGATTCCGATTGGATTCCTATGCCATATCTTTCGTTTTCGCCAATATGGTTATGATGGAACTCCAAGAAAGACGCTTCATATCGTCTTCGAATAAGAACCCACAAGAATACCCACTGGGCCTCCACATAGTATCCCCAGTGCGTTTCCCACACCATTCCAACAAGACGATTCTTCGATTGTAACCCGATGGGGCTCCCAGGCGTTGTCCATTAGGAAGGGCCCCACCGGGCTTCAATAGGAAGCACCCCTATCGTATCCAAATAGGACACCCGTAGGCCCCAGATCGAGGAATCTTGTTGGATACGAACGGAATTCACTTGGTGCCAACAGGATCCCAGTGGGAAGGGTGCCACTAGGATTCCAAGTGGAATCTAGTTGGATATCATTCGGAGTCCGCGACTTCACATATTCTCGCTTCATACGGGTCACTTTACAACCAACGCGCTTCAGAGAGTGAAGTGTGTCCCTTACGTGGACCCACGGAGATTTCTTTGATTCAAGGACATGTGTCGCTTGTGGTGAAGTGCCCCATCTGGTTGTAAAGTGGACGTTTTGGTTGCAATGTGACCCACGCGCCTTCTTCCCCCCTCCTCCAACTCCTCCTCCTCCGCCTTCTCCTCCTCCTCATTATCCTCATCCTCCTTGTCCTTTTCCCCTCCCTCCCCGTCCTCCTCCTCCTCCTCCCTCCCCCCCCTCCTCTCCGTAACCATTTTGGCTCATGTACGTAGCGGTTTCGCTCAGGACTTGATTTTTTTGGCGTGGGGGGACTTGCGGCCCCCGATTGCTCAGGGCTTCCCTCTCTGCCTGCCCTGGCTGGAGGTACTTCCTTTTTTTCACGCACGCTGACAGTCTCGGGGGTGCGCGGCCTCGCATGTCCACACAGCATGCGCCATGCCATCGTTCTCGCCCTGCTGCTGCCGATGAGTGGAAGCTCGCAGCGGCAAGGCCAGAATTTCTCAAGCGTTGAAAGCGCGGCTGTGGCAAAAACAGGAAGTCGGCAAACAATCATGTTCAATGCGGAGCAGCTCTCTCGTCCCGAGAACCGCGGTCACAGCAGCAGGCGCCCCCCCAGCCCGAGCAGTCGGGCAAGACTGGTCGCTGGCGCAACGGCCGCACTCGGGATGAAGGGAGAGCCGATGCTGGCGGCAAGGCAGGCAGTGGCAAGGGCATAGGAGACGGCAAAGGAGCGCACCCCCCTTCTGCGCACTGAACCGCAGTTCGCATGCCCAGATCCCTTTGCCTTCAACGTGCAGAAGATGCAGCGCGGAGAGGTCCAGCATCTCACGGCCTTGGCAAGCAAGCAGTCGCTCGACGCGGTGGCCAATAAGTGCAGGCTCCGCCTTCTGGAGCTCGATCGTCTGGCTGCTGGCCCTGCTGCGCTGCCACCTGAGAAGCAACTTTCTCCCCCG